GACCCTACTTCAGGTAAATCCCACTATCTAACTCTACTAAGTTTCTATTATGCGATTCTTGATACATGTTTATGTTTTTAAGAATCAAAGAAAAGTGAAGAAACTTAAAGAAAGAATATGTGGAGTCTGATCGCGTAGATGGATTTCTATTGCATAGTTTGAAGATCGGATTCTTAAGCTACTTCTTAGGAGTTATGATATATTGCATAGGAATAGATAACAACAAAGTTTTCCTGCACTTTTGCATTGTAAGGATAGTTTTCCGCAATCTTTTAAAACAAAAGGAAAAATTTTGATTTTATTTATTTTAAAATATCCTTACAATGGCATTTGAGGAAAAAAAATTGTTGCTTATATGATTTCATTAATAGCAGGAGTGAAAATATAAAATTGATTCTTTCATTTGTTGTAATATCTAAATTTAACAAATAAGGAAAGATCCTCATCACCCAAGTTTCAATTGGACCTAAAAATGGAATCATATAAGTTGTATAGCATGATGAATAATAATTTTTCATCTTTGGAAAATTAAGACTAGTTTGTTGTTCAAATGTATATGTGAGTCAAGTGAAGGACTAAGGGATCGAGTACACATTCTTGTGCACTGGCTAAAGTCCACCACAAAAGATGGATAAGACTATTCGTCATGATTTACTAAGTCTAGTAAATATGGTTATACTTATAGGCCTAAGTATAATTCTGAAGCATTGAAAAGATTTCAGTGTATGGTAGAATGAATGAGAAGAATCAAATTAGGCAGAAGGATAAAAGTTTCTCAATTCTATGGGAGAGTACTTTAGTATCATGTGATATGATCATCTTAATGATTAAGAGACCTTATCACAATTCATCCTCTAAGTGCCTTCTGATAGCTAAGAGGAGGAGCTATGAATTGTTGAAGTTGTTAAATCAAGAAGACGATTCATACTTCATTCCAAAAAAAACAATTCTTAGAGTTATACTCTAAGATTGTAACTTGAGTGACACGTGTTAAAGAAGGTTTAAAACATTTTTCAAATGTAAGAGTAAAAGTTTTCTACTCTTGTACATTTGAAATAGGTAAGTTGTGATGTTTTGGACAAAACAAAGACCAACTAAGGCCAATTGTGTGAAGTGTTTGTCTTGATTACAATCCGCACTATCTCTTGGATGTTTGACAAGGGAGTTTTATATGTCAAGAGGACAGTGGGAGTTTTAGAGGTCTTGAAAGTCTCAAGAACTAATCAAGAATAAAACCTGAAGTTCTTCACTAGCACACGACTTGAGGTTTATAACCTATCGTGTTGACATATTTCTGTGCCGATTCTAGTTAAATTTGGCTTTGCATATGAGTTCTTAGAGTTCTCAATTGGTTGCATAACAACGTGGAAGCAATGGCAGCCCCTTGAGCTGCTAGATGGCATGAAATTAAGATTGAGTTCAGTCCATATGAGTTTGGATTTGTCATTATCCTTGTCTTGTGACTATGGTTTTGACAACTCACATGGATAAGAACACATACACCATTAAATCTAAGTGTCATAAGGTTTCTCTCGGATTCATGAAAATGATGGTGAGGAAACATTTTCACTAAGTAGATTTTAACTAGATAGCAATTGTGATATTTGCATTCTTAAATTCGTTAGTGGAGCTTGTGTGGTTAACCAGCACACTACATGGGCTTATGAGAAGTGGCAAAGGTCTAAACAATCGAGACTATGATTACGACATCCCTTTTCATGGTTCTTAAAATTGTTTAGACACACCTGTGAGCTATCTAAGATAAGGTGTATAATATTGATAAAGTTTTATCAAAGCAATCTAGTATCAGAAATCCGAACTTTGGTAAGAAAGTCAATAAAGTATTGTTTTTCTAGAAGTCCAGCTGATTTCTGAGTACATGCCAAAGCTAGTGGGAGTATAAGTGTTATGCTAATAATCATCATGTTAGTGGGAGCATGATAATTATGATAAAGGTTGCAAGTTAGCAATGTTAATTATAAAAAACAAAAGTTTCAATTCGTGGAGTTGCAGGGGTTGAAAAGGTGTTTTGCTATAATTTAGAGAGAGGAAATTATACTTCATCTCAAATCTATAAGCTTAGATCGTCTCAAATCTATAAGTTTAGATCGTGAGATTTTAATAAAATCAAGTCAAGAATATATATGAATTTCATGTTGGAATGGCTCAACATAAGGAAATTCTATATATGGTTTCATTATTTGTGTTCTAAAATTCGATTATGTTTACGACATCCTTTTTCATAATCTGAATTATGAGAACTTGGAAAATAGAAATGAAAATCTTATAGCAAAATACTAGTTTAGTCTTATGTGAGACATCATGAATCGTGTCCTATATGCTTCAGATATAGGATCGATTACATGTGTTATATTCATCCTTTATAAAATTTTCCAAATGCCTGGGGCATTAAGAAGGGAAAAGGTATGGAATTAGATATGACTAAAAGGATTAAGCAATTGTCTAGGACAATCTAAGGTTTACCAAAGATTGGTTGCTCAGGGACAGTTGGAAGTATAGTGTTAATTGTTGGAAGGACCATATTGACATATTCTGAAAAGAGGCAACTCTTGTTCAAAAGTGATAGTCAAAAGGGGAATGTGAAAATGATCCCATTGGTGGAAGTTGTTCAATAAATTTGTGTAAGATTAGGAAACTTAATGCAATAAGGATGTTTCCAAGGAGTTGATCTCCTTTGGAATGCTCGGTAATGTTTGTTGCCAAGTCTTTGTGACTTTGTGCATAATGATTACAAGATAATCATTGCATATAAGTTTAGAATCTAACAGATTTCGGTAAAATGGCATGAATTTGGAATTCCTACATTTGCCATAAGAATTCGGGAGTGTGAAATTAGAATCATGGTTCAATTGGTTTATTTCACAATGTAAATATCATAGACAAACATAGTGTGCATACTTGGTGTATGGCATGACTAGTGTTTAGAAAAAATAATGTACTTACTTGGAGCATGGAACAACTATTGTTTTAATTCAAGAATAAAGTTTATAGTTGAAAAGTATGCAATGAATAATGTGTAATCATATTGTGATAAATAAAAGGTGTGTTATTTATGTTCATAGGTTTTGATACCATATTAGATTCAATTACTCTTGTGTTTCATTTTGCATGTTTTGACTTCCAGAATAAACTAGGTTATTCTTCTGGAATGACTAAGTTATTCAAACCATCCACAGTCGGTCATATGTTAGAAGTAGATATGAATCAAGACTGTCATGGGTTGGCTTGTAGAGGTTCAAGTTGGTGGACAAAGTTGTGCTACACCACTCATGAGTGCTCATAAATTCTGAGTATTGGATTCAACCTACGCTCATTGGAATCACTTCATGGACTTTATCACGAGTGATCATGAGACGATAATATCTTATATTCTTCAAACCTAGAGATATGAGTTGTTACTGTGAGTTGGTTGTACATTGATTGCATGAAAACGAATTCGGCAACTCGATGTTATAAAACATGTCTTTGTGTATGATTCAGCAAGTAGTAGAACAAGCCATATGAGTTGAAGTTTATCCATTCCTTTTACCTTCAGGATAAAAGCGATATCTATGGGCCCCTCGATGATTTAATGATGATACATGTGAGTGCTTAGGCAAGCCAGGACTGATTTGATCTGTTCAATCAGTCTATCATCATGAATCGAAAATAAGGAAACAACAAATAGATAGAGAGAATGATATATAATCCATATCTCAGTCCATATGATATCTATAATAGAGGAATATATGATCCCTTATCTAATGGACAAGTCACTGACAAAGGTCAGAGTTCATCGATAAGGTCAGAGTTCAATAGAAGCTTTTGAGAGCTACGATTTCCAGTAGGTTCTTGAAGTCATACGCAATAATAGCTTTAGACTTATCCAAGTGGGAGACTGTTGGATTAATGTCTAAGTCCATAAGTATAACTGGTAAGACTTGACCCGACCCATCATGTTCCATTTGGGTTGCATGGCATCATGCATTTGGATAGACTATAATGAGAGAAATAACACTTAAGGTTGGTTAATGTATTATAAGTTCTAATATATTAATAAGGTTATTTAATTAGTATTGATCAAGAATTAATTTGGAATTAATTAAGTGATCAAAAGGAGACTAATTAAATATATGGGTTGATTGTGTAAATCATTCATTCTTATATATGTGGCCTTGTGATCCAAGATTCCTTATGTTGGACTAAGAATTAATTTGGAATTAATTAAGTGATCAAAAGGAGACTAATTAAATATATGGGTTGATTGTGTAAATCATTCATTCTTATATATGTGGGCTTGTGATCCAAGATTCCTTATGTTGGACTAAGGTCATGGGGTGACCCATGGATAATCCATGAAGCATAAGGAATGGGTAAAGTTATGAGTTACATGGTATAACCCTAATAGCCACCATATAAAAGAATCTCATGGCTTAAGAAATCGTGCACTAGTGTGTGAATATGAGGGCTAGACGATTTCAAGGAGTGTTCCATTTCTCTCAAGTCATTCCATGTGCATTTGGTGCTGTGTGAACCATTTGAGGTGTCACACTTGGGGCACTAGGCACTCAAGCTTCGTGAAGACATTCTACATTAAAGAGGTATGTAATTCTAACTTGAGATATTCATATGAATCAATGTTATTTTTCTAGTTACGATGAATACCTTGGAAAGTTCATATTTGCATCTATAATAGAGAAAACATAGATCCAATGTACTTAGGGTTGCGTGTACACTTAGGAGTGTTAGAATGCTTAAAACCCTTCAATCAAGATGATCAATTGAGCCCCATTTGACTAAAATATGTCTAAAAGAGTTATTGCTACAAACACGAAGGGGAAGACCTTCGCATCAACCCACACAATACGCTCAGATGGCACAAATTTTTTGTTCGATTCTCTTTTTTCAGTGGTCCAATGATTAACTGCATCGTTGTACAAAAAGTTTTTACAAGCTTCTTTGGATTTAAATTCAAACATCACCCTCGAACCACCCACATATCATACATCAAAACCTTCATCATGGTATAACATTCCTAGGTTGGGAAGAGTGTTAAAGTCACGGGCCTTAGCTAAACACGCAAGTTTTTTATTATCAATAACAAAATTCCTAGATTCAAGAACAATGGCTATTTCATCTTTGATAAATGAGGAAAACTCACTGTTACCACCTTGTACTACATTTGCATATGAAACAGGTATGTTCTCTCGTTTCTTCACCACCTTAGGTGGTTCCATATAAGGGCTGGTAGCTTTCTTTTGAATACGGTGTGTAGAGGCAAACAATTTGTAATACCCAAACCATACTTCACAAAGATTCTAATCATATGATCAACGTTGATATTGCCCAAAAATCAAACAAAACCAAAGCACTTCCCCATTCGTGACAACTTTTTTGGAGATAAATACATCGCAAACTTTTCCTAACCAAGAACATGCACGCCAAATATCGGAATGTATAATGTAATCTGGGAAATTTGTGATATAGAACGAATGTGATTCAGACCTGGATGATGCATGGACTGTGTCGATGGAGGCCTTGTGAACGTGATGCTTATTCGTCTTCCAACCATCACCAAGTGAGAGGCAAGATTGATTAGAGACCATTGTATGATTAGATTTTGGAAGATTCTGCACCAGGAGCCAATCAAACCCACAATAAAATAGGAGAACAGAACACCCCACTGAAGAAAGATAATCAAAATTTAAATTGGATCCAGGCCCTACCGGCGTGTGTACCCACCGGAGAAGAAGGATTAAGCCAGAAGGATGTGCCACCGATCACAAGAAAACCTCCAAAATCTCTAGATTATTTGTTTTGTTAGTTGATGGTAACTTGATATAAGGTGTGACCTTATAGAATCATGTGTTATTATCAATATTATTCTATTATGACTCTTGGGCATACAAAATCTTTCAATCTCTCATTTGCACAAGACGCACCATATATTGACATAGATAGTGGAAAACAATCTCACTTGGTGTTCAACATTGGATATCATAATAGATGTCTAACTGTCAACACATAAGAGGAACAAATCTCATTTTAACTACATAAGGCTCTTTTATAGTTCATACTACACCTGAATATACCACCAGTATCGGAGCCGGGAAATTTTGTATGTGGTTACAAACATTTTCAAGATTCAAAATAGTATATTCAAAGAGTTTCTTAATATTTGAAGTTGTAAATCAAAAAAATACAATTTTAAAAGAACTTGCAGTCAAATTTAACTAGTCGTCATTACTTGAAATCGACCCATATATTATTATCAAGAACTTGTAGAAATACATCCTTCTTAATCAAAGTGACTAAACAATTGTTTAAAACTTTATCATCCATGCTATTATGCAACTCATTCTCTCTATAGTTGTTGTAGCAACCAAAAAAGATATATTCTATTTATTTATCATATACTATGCATTAATGTTGAAATATCTCATTTATCTTTGTTCAAACTTGACATTTCATTGTATTGGTTAGTTTTGAACCAACTTTACTTAACAAACGGCCATTTAAATACATACAATATAATCCCTACAAAAGAGATCAATATACAAAGGCCGTGTTCTGTCATTTGTGTAAACTTGTAGATTATGGCTCATGTTTCTTGAAACAAGCTATACTAGATGTGTATATATTTTGTATATAAGTCAGATCAGTGACTAGTGTACATTAGGGCTGAGAGACATAGTGAGTCCATTCCAGTAATTCAATCACACACACTCACTAATTCTCCCGTTCTCTCTCTTGATCAAACTAGGGTTTGTTACTTTGGGTTTGAGTAACTTTTCATGTTAATGTTTTGATTCTGAGTTATTTGTATTGAGAGTATGTTAGGAATTTTGTAGTGACAATTGTGTTGTAATGGTCATGTCTAGTGAACAAGTTTCTCATCATTAAGGAAATTGTTGAAGTTGAGAAATTATGTGTTTATCTGATTTATCAGTTTCTTTTCATGGTATTAAATCCAGACGACTATGATTCTTCTTTCTGATAGTCAATGGTACTTCGCTTGTTCGTTTGAGTTGAAAGGTATACATTGTTTCCTTTTTTGTGTTTCGATCGTTGTATATTTACATAGATCGGGTTGATATAGATCTTTCTATGGACACCTCCATGTTGTTGACATAGTCCTTGAAAATCTTGGGTTCTTGTTTCAATCTAGGGTTTCTGAGTTGCTATTCGCAAAATCAAAATGTTATTTGTTTCTTTCAAATTTAAAATTCTAGCTACTACAAAGAGTTGGTTGTTCTTTGTAGATTTGTTTATTCATTATATTGTTGAGTCGATAGGTAATTCTAGTCATTTCTTGGTCAATCCCTGTATATTTTAAAATAAATCTATTAGATTGATTCACTTTCATAGGGAACGAAATAAAGGGAGTCGATTTGTCTTCCACTTATATTCTCTTCAAAAGTTTCTATTAGATCCTCATGAGTATTTTCTTGTTCCCTTCTACATCTTTTTTAGTAGTAGACATGGGAGATCCTAGTCATCTTAAGTACAGTAATTACCTGTTGATCATTTCTTGTTTGATTGATTGTTTTTTCGACCCTTTGACTACTTTTATTGGGCCTCGACATATCGAGGTGTCCATCTTTACTTCTCAGTGGTAACAGTTGCCTATGCTTTATTCTCTATGATTTACTTCTTCTTGTCTGATTAGTGTTGATATATTGGTAAAATGGCTAAACCAACTCCAACTATTGAATTTGGTAGTTGAACAAAAATTGATCCTACAAATTATAATGCTCCTTTGTATGTACATCCACCATATGACACTATAACTATTATTGTAAATTTCAAGCTTACTAGGAAGGAAAACTTTCATTTTTTGCATAGCTCTATGACTAAATGTCTTAAGGGTAGAAATAAGTTAGAGTTTCTGGATAGTTATGTCAAAAAGGGTACTGACAGTGAACTTAGATCATTAAAATGGGAACATGATAATGATATTGTTTGCTCTTTGATCCCTGGATTATTATCTAAATCTAACTAGTCTAGCTATGCTTATTCTGAGTCTTCTAAGGAAATTTAGAATGAACTTTTTGAAACTTTTAACAAAGCTGATGAATCTATTGCTTACAAAATTCATCAACATATTAACTCTCTTAAGCAAAATGGATCTCATCTATCTGAATACTTTAATAAACTACACACTTTAGAGATGGAGCTTGATGGTCTTATAAATCTCATTGAATGTACTTGTGAAGCTACGAAAAAAATATAATGATAATTCAAAACTTATGAAATTAATGGAACTTTTAAGTGGTATTGATGATTGCTTTAATCAAGTTAAAACTCACATTCTTCTAAGGATATCCTTACAAATATGAAATTTGCTTTCTCTATTGTCTCAATGGATGATTCTCATCAAAAGAATGGGCCTCTTACCTCTTCATCTAATATGTCTAAACCTCGGTCTTCAACTTTTAATAGTAGATTTAATTATAGAAGAAATCAAAATTCAAAGTCAAATATACGAAGAATCAAATTTTGAAATGTAAGAATTGTCGTCTTAAGTGTCATCTTATTAAAAAATGCTATAATTTGATTGGTTATCCTAAACATTTCAAACATATAATTGAATATAATAATAATAACAACCAAAGTAATCATAATAAATCTTTTTCGATAAATTTATCATATGTTCCTTCTAGTGGTTCTTTTATTGCTTTTTCAAAGTCCACTACAAATAGTGATGTTTACTATCTCACAAGTGAGAAATAAAATAATTTCCTGGATTTTATCAATGAAAATTCCCATGTAACTAATGATACCTTTGCCAGTGAAAATATAGTCGGTACATCTATTTTTACATCCTATAACTCTACCATTATTCATCAAAAGGATTGTTGACTCAGGTGAAAATCAAAATATGACTTCTTCTGAGTGACTTCTTCATGACACTATAAACGTATCTAACCTGAGTCTCCTTGTTTACCATCCTAATGGTTTATTTGCTAAAATTGATAAAATTGGATATTTGTTGTTTTAAAAAAAACTTAACACTTTTTAGTGTCTTTTTTGTTCTTGATTTTTATGTGAACTTGCTTTTTGTACATAAATTATGCAAAGACACAAAGTGTGATGTTGTTTTTAATGAATATAACTTTAAAATTTAGAGTTTAAAATCAAGGGAGATAAGGGAGAATGATAGAGAGTTTGTGATGGGTTTTGGTCATAAGACATCCTATGTGCTCATACAAACCCTAATGCTTGGATCTAGGTTTCTCTATTGTACATGCTTTGAATCCAAGACTATAAACCCTAATTCTAGCATATGGAAATCAATATTAACATATAATTAGGTTTAAGACATTACCTTGATTGTTATGTAGCAATAACAATCCTAATTCCTCCTTGAATTGACTTTGGAAGGCTTAGAGTCACAAGTGTCACTCCTCTAATGGCTTACAAACACCAAGAGCAAATGGAGAAGGTATAAAGAGAGAGGAGAGAGGTTAGAATTCGTCCTTAGGACTCCTTGGAAACAAGTACATTAATTCTAAGGCCTTAGGGTCTTTATATAGGTGTAGAGATAGGGTTTCAGTCATTATCCTTATCTAATTGCTTATCCACAAAGCAACAATAAGACAAGCCTTGAAAACCCTTATCCTTTATCCTTTGGACGATTTCAAGGATCCTTATCTCCTTGAATTTGTTCAACCCATATTTAGGATAACCATCACCATATTTTGTAACTATCACATAATTACAATTCAGCCCCTCTAGTTTAATTAATTACACTTGATCACAAAATTAATTCCTAATTAATTATTGACCAATATTAATTAAACAAATATGATATCTCCTTTAATATATTATTCTTATAACATATTAATAAATCATAATAATCTCTCTCTTTATTTATTTCTCCAATCAAGTTGCTTTGGTGAAGGCAACCTAAAAGGACCATGCACCATCGGGTCAAGTACATACCAAAATAGTTATGGACTTAGACACTAATCTAACAGTCTCCCACTTGGATAAGTCTAATAACTATTCTACGTATGACTTCAGATCCTGATCTGCAAGCGTAGCTTTCCAAAGCCGCTGTCAACTCTGATCCTATCAGATACGCATCCTTAGATAAGGGATCATATATTCCTCCATTCTAGATATCGTATGAGATATGATTTCAAATCATTCTCTTTGTACTATTTCTTGATTTCCGATTTATGACGACTGACTAATTGAACAAATCAAATTAGCCCTAGCATGGCCGAGCATTTACGTTTGTCATCACTAAACCATCGAGGGGCCCAAAGATATCGCTTTTATCCTTCTTTGGATAAAAGGAACGAATAAGCTTTGATACAATGCTTGCTTGCACTTACTAACCAAATCACACACAACAATATGTTTTATAACACCAAGTTACTAGTGTGTTTACATATTATCAATGTGCAACCGATTTGCAAGATACAACTCACACATCTTGGTTTCAAGAATATAAGATGTTATCGTCTCACCAATCACTCGTGATTCAATTCATGAAATGATCCAAGTGAGCGTGGGTTTAATCCAATGCTCAAATCATATTCATAAGCACTCATGAATGTTGCAGCAAACATTTGCTTATGTCTAATACTCTTTTAGA